ACGATCCGCTAAGCATATTACAAAGATTTCCAATTTCTAGCAACATAAGTTTGAAGCTCTGTTTGAAGTATAGGAATGATTTAAGAGCTTTTCACAATTTCTTAATTTGGAAACAAATGCATATTTTCTATTATGGACTCTCACTTTCTAATAGAGTCACAATTGATGCAGTAGCTAGAGGAGCCTTTATAAGAAAAGAACCAACTAAGGCTTACACATTGATAGAAGAGATGTAATTCAGCAATTTTCAATGGCACACAGACCCTCATAAGAGAAAAAAGAAGGAAATTGTTTTGATCTATTAGGTAGAAAGCAACGATCCAATAGCAAATATGTTGGAAACTTTGTCAAAGTAGATGGAATCTTTATTAAGGGAAAAATCCATGCAACTTCAAAATATGAGGAGGCCAACTTCTTATACAATAATTATAAATCAGGAAGGTGTAATAAACTTACTAACAAGTGGAAGAATGGTCAAGGGAGCCATAATTCAAATGTCTGTCACCCTCCCTATATGCAGCACCAAGGAGCAAGACAAGAGTCAGAGAAGAGAGAAGCCTCAAACTTTCAAATAGAGTAAAGGATATAAAAGTTTGAATTTTAAATGGAACAACAAAACCTTCTGTTAGAGCAACAAACTGAAACAATGGACAGAAAGTTCTCAACGATAAGCTTTAACATGAAATCTCAATCATCAAAGATAAAATAACAATTTGAACAACTTACTAATCTGATGACTCAAAGAATGTTAGGGACATTGCTCACCCAACTTGAACCTAACCCTAGAGAACATGTCAAAGCAATAATTACCTTAAGAATTGGGAAAGAACCACATGAAAACATGCAAATTATAGAACAGAGACACAAACAAGCCCATGTCCTCTCAACATGCACGCTTGTGCTGACTGAATAGCACAACCACGTCTCGCTAGAAGCACGAATGTGCTTTGATGATATATACGCCCATAATACATGCAAGGTCGTGCTCTAGACTCAAAACTTGAGTGAAAGCAAAAAGAAGGGCAACTTGCATTGCCAAAGCTTCAAGAACTCAAGATTCCCTTTCCAGAGAGGCTAAAGAACAGTTAAAGAGATTCACAGTTTAATAAGTTTCTAAAGATCCTAAAGAAGTTACATAGTAACATTCCTTTTGTAGAGGCTATCTCTCAAATGCCTAAGTATGCTAAGTTTCTTAAGGAGATATTGAGCAACAAAAGAAAGTTAGAGGATTTTGAAATTGTGACACTTAATGAAGAATGCTCAGTAATCCTTCTGAAGAAGCTTCCACCAAAGCTGAAAGATCCAATAAATTTTACTATTCCTTGCACTATAGGTAGCTCACATTTTGATAAGACCCTATGTAATTTAGGGGTTAGTATAAATTTAATCTCTCTCTATTTTAGAAAGTTGGGTATGCAAGAATCTGAACCTACCTATGTGTCTTTGTAGTTAGCAAATCAATCTATCACTTATCCAAAAGGAATAGTAGAAGACGTCTTAGTGAAGGTAAATAATTTTATCTTCCCTGCAAAGTTCATTGTGTTAGACATGGAAGAGGATGATGAGGTCCCCATTATCCTAGGAAGACCATTTTTAGCCACAGGGAAAACTATTATAGATGTCTAATAAGGAAAGCTCACATTAAGGCTCAACAATGAGGAAATTGTTTCTAATGTCTTTGATTCTCTTAAACATCCATTTAGTTTTGACTCTTGTAATTTTATTACTGTGAATACTACTTCTTCTTCTTTAGATTCTATTCAGTTAATGGATAAATTGAGAGATGATGTGTTAGAAAATATCCTTACATTTGGGAGAGATGCTTTATTGGAAACCAAGAAAGTAATAGCTGAGATCCTAGCTTTGGAGAATGGAAATCCAAGAAAATGGTTAGCACCTAGGCATTTTAAAAGCTTGGAAACACGTGACACTTAGATACCTAAACCATCAATTGAAGGACCACCAGAATTGGAGCTTAAACCTTTTCCTATTGATCATTGATATAACATATTTTATGTCTAAATTTATAGTTTTATTTTTATTTATAAAAACTTTTAATATGCTTTGTTTTAATAATTTTTACCATTTTTTATTTATTGGAATAAATTGGGGCTATTACAAATAAATGCTTTAATTTCGTATTTTTCGGTTATTCTGACCTTTGACTACTCTTTTGGCCATAAATTTTTCTACAGATATTATTTTTGGCTAATTCCAGTTGCATTGGATTCTATACATCCAGGACTTCAAAATGCATATATAGATCACTGGATTTAGAGTTTTTTTTTAATTTTTTATAATTTTTAAAAGTTGAGGCAGATTTGCTAAGTATTTTTGCAGGAATGCATTTGGACCCTTGTTATTTAATAATTGTATTTGGCATTTTAGATATTATTGAGGCTCGAATTTTGGCTAGTTAGTTTACCCTAATCAGAACCTATAAATAAACTAATGAAATTCTGAATTAGGGTGTGCACGTTTGGGTATGCGATTAGACACTTTGAGGTTTTGAGACTTGGTCAAAATAAGAATCCTTATTTTTACTTTTTCTCGAACACTCTCGTTATTTTTTTCATTCTTGCATGGGTTAAGCGTTTCGATGGAAGGCTAAACCTCTCGTTCAATCTGTGGAATTCAAACGACGTAATTCTGACTTGAGTTTTGCGCTAAATTGCTCCGAGTTTGTTCTATTTTCTCTCTAATCTCATAATTGTGTACTGCAATTGTAATTGACTTTTCTGTTGTTAGAATTTAAATTAGGATTCGATTGATGCTTTGATTTGATATTAATGCGGATTAGGTGATGTAACATATTTTATTTTATATTTAATGTTTTATTTTTTTATTAATAAACACTTTTCATATGCTTTATTTTTATAGTTTTTACCATTTTCTACTTATTTGAATAAATTGGGCCTATTACAAATAAATGCTTTAATTTTAAATTTTTGGTTATTCTGACCTTTGACTACTCTTTTGGCCATAACTTTTTCTACAGATATCATTTTTGGTTGATTCTAGTTGCATTGGATTCTAATCATCCAGGACTTCAAAATGCATATATGAATCGTTGGATTTAAAATTTTTTTTTTCAAGAATTTTTGAAGTTAAGGCAGATTTGCTGAATATTGTTGTGAGATTGCATTTGGACCTTTGTTATTTAATAACTGTATTTGGGCTTTTAGATATTATTGAGGCCTGCATTTTAGCCACTTAATTTACCCTAATCAAAACTTATAAATAGACTAATAAGGTTCTGAATTAGGGGAGGGAGAGTGATTAGACACTTTGAGCTTTTGAGACTAAGTTAAAATAAGAATCCTTATTTTTACTTTCTCTTGAACTTTCTCGTTCTTTTCTCATTCTTGCATGGGTTAAGCATTTTGATGAAGGGTTAACTTCTCGTTCAATCTGCAGAATCCAAAACCTGTAGTTCCGACTTGAGTTCTGCGCTAATTGCTTCGAGTTTATTCTCTTTTTCTCTCTAATCTCAAAATTGTTTATTGAGATCGTGATTGACTTTTTTTGTTGTTAAATTTCAAATTAGAACTCGATTGATGCTTTATTTTGATAATTAATGCAAATTAGATTAAATAATTATTTGATTTAATTCGTAACTCTATTCAATTAGGTTATTCAATTAAATTGGGTGATTGTTCAAACGTGCATTTAAATCTTTAGATACTGTGATAGTCAGAGTTACACACAATTGGTATTCTGTGGATTGATATTTCTTAATTCATTTTTTACTCACTTTAATTATGTTCGTAATTTAATTTGATTAATTGCAATTTTCAAAACCCCAAAAATCTTATTTGCATTTTTTAAAATAAAACCTAAAATTGAATTTGACTAAAAATTTATCTTCGTGAATCGACCTAGGTTTGGCTCTTTATTACAAAATCTTTAGAAAACTTAGTTGTTTTGATAGTGACTCGGCAATCGTCTATCAAATTGGCACTGTTATTGGGGACTTGTTGTCATTTTTGATTCATTTTAGGGTTTAATATTACATTTTCACTTTCTAATTCCTAATTTTGTTTTTGTCTTTGTTTCGTTTCTATCTTTATTGCCGCGATTCGATATTTTTATTTGTTTTTTTTATATAGTGTGTTTAATTTCAATTTTTGTCAATTTTTTTGTTTTGTTAAATTTTGATGTTTTAGTGAATTTTGAATTTTAGATTTTTTTTTTTTGAATTTTGAATTTTAGATTCAGATTTTATATTTTTTTAAATATTGGATTAATAAGCATATTGTTGCAGAATATCCCTCAGATTTAGTTTAGATTCAATTTAAAAAAAAACTTAAGTTTAAATTTTAAATTATTTTTAAATTTCAATTTTAAATTATAGTTAAGATTTGATTTAGTTTGTTTTGAGTTTAAAGATAAGATTAGTTTTTTTTTTAGATAGATTAGTTTTAAATTTAAATTTTGAAAAAAAAACTTTATCTAACCAATTTTTAAATTTAAATTTTGAATTTTTATTTATTTTAGTTTTTTTTGAAAATAAAATTTAATTAATATTTTCCTTAAAAAAATAAAGAAAACTAAAATAATTTTAATTGCTATTTTTTTATTGCATTTTTTATTGTAATTTATTTGGTTAATTTTTTTTTTATATTTTTTCCTTGCACATTTTTATTATTATTTGATTTGTATAAGGTTTGTTTGTTTCCTCACACACCATTAATCATACATAATATGAGCGAGACCCTATACCCGGGTCTGAGTAAACTTTAGGTTTAAACGAGTTATGTAGTGATAGCAATTTGGATGAACGTCTTGTTTGTCTATCACGAGAACTTTAACTAGAGCTTATCGTATTTATATAAGTCCCTTCATCTAGTAGACTACCTACTGATTGAGGATGACTTTATGAAATAGATTTTAACTCTAGTGACATTTTATTTTTAGGCTTACAAACTATCCAAGGTAAGAATGCATGTTATAAATCTAATTGTGATCATTCTGATAGTATATTTGTGCATTATGATATTATGGCTAATAATCAACACAAAAGAACTCTTAAAGAATTGGCTGTATCAGATGTCACATACCAACCATTAGGCATCCAATATCCTGATGTAGATGCTCCATTTGAGTTAAAATCTAGTCTAATCCATTTGTTACATAAGTTTAATAGTAGTGCAGGTGAGGATACTTATAAGCATCTGAAGGAGTTTCATATAATTTGCTCAACAATGAAGCCTTAACGAGTTCTAGAAGACCACATCAAGTTGAAGGACTTTCCATTCTCCTTAGATGGTGCAGCGAAATATTGGCTATATTACCTGCAGCCAAGGTCTGTCACTTGTTGGATAGACATGAAGAGGATGTTCCTGGAGAAGTTCTTCCCTGCTTCCAGAGTAGCCACAATCAGAAAAAGAGATCAACAACATTAGACAATTCAGCCAAGAAAGCCTCTATGAGTATTGTGAGAGATTCAAGAAGCTATGCACAACCTGTCCACACCATCAGATCAGTGACCAGCTGCTTATTCAGTACTTCTATGAAAGCCTTGCTCCAATGGAAAGGAGTATGCTTGATGTAGCAAGTGGTGGAACTCTCATGGACAAGAAACCATCTGCAACCAAAGCACTAATTGACAACATGGCAGAGAAATCTCGGCAGTTTAATACAAGAGCCATGGCACCAATGAGAGAGGTGCATAATGTGCAGCAACCAACCTATATGGCAGCAAATTCTAGCAGACTTAATAGCAGAATTGAGGAGCTCACTACTTTTGTGAGACAACTAGCTGTTGTGCAACAAACTGTTCCACAAGGAAGGGTGACCAGAGACTGTCATATTTGTTCCTCCATAGAGCACACCTCAGATTATTGTCCTTTGCTGCATGAGAGTAGCCAACAAGCCTCTGGCCACAGAGTTTTTAGTGAAAGACAAGACCAATACAGAGTTTTGAATTTCCAACAACCTCAAAGACAACAACAGTTGTATAGGTTCCAATACCAATCTCATAATCTTGCCTTTAATGATCATCCAAATATGAGATATGGTACCTCTGAGCAGCAACAACAGCAACATACTAGCCAACCAAGTAATGGCTATAGACCACCCCCTATGAGGCAGCAGTAAACACAACGAAGTTCTGAGCCTTCTTCAGAGGATTTGGTCAAACAAATGGCCAAGAGCAATTTACAATTCCAACAGAATGTCAATGCTCCTATTCAAGACCTGTAGACACAGATTGACCAACTTGCTACTACTATAAACCAGTTCAAGTCTCAAGGTTCTAAACAACTCCCTTCTCAAATAGAGGTTAATTCCCAAAACATGAGTGTCATAATATTGATGAGTGGGAAGGAGCTGTCAGGCAATCAGAAAGATGAAGAGGTACAAGATGATGTGGAAGCAGAGAAGCAGCAAAACACAGAGCAATAGACTGCCCCTAGCAGTTCAGAAATTGTGCAAAAATCACCTCTTCCCTTTCCGAACAAAGTGGCCAAGCCAGGGCCACCAACAGACTTTATTAAGGAGCTTTTTGAGACATGCAGAAGAGTAGAAGTGAACATTCCACTACTGGATGTGATAAAACAAATTTCAAAATATGTAAAGTTCCTTAAAGAGTTGTGCACTAACAAGAGGAGACTGAAAGGAGATGAAAGAGTCAGCATGGGGAGGAATGTGTCAGCCCTCGTATAACCCAATATGCAGCAGAGATGCAAAGATCCTGGCACTTTTACTGTCCCTTGCACTATTGGAAATTCCACCTTCAACAATGCATTACTTAATCTTGGTGCTTCCATAAATGTGATACCTACATCAATCTATAGGTCTTTGAGCCTCAGCCCTCTAAAGCAAACTGGTGTAGTCATTCAATTGCCAAATAAGAGCACTACATTCCCTGCTGGAGTAGTAGAAGATGTACTAGTGAGAATGGATAAGCTAATATTCCCTGTAGATTTCTATATTCTGGACATGGTAGAAGAGTCCAGCATGCCTACACTGATCCTTGGTAGACCTTTCCTGAAAACATCAAGGACAAAGATTGATGTGCACTCAGGATTTCTATTCATGGAGTTTGGAGACGATATTATGCAGTTCAACATCTTTGAAGCCATGAAGCATCCTTCAGAGCTGCATAGTGCATTTCATATAAATATTATTGATGTTTCTAGTTGTACATGTACTATAGAAGATTTGTGTAAAATTTGTGTTGAAATAAATGCATATTTAATAGCTGATGATGTTTCATGTGATGCAGCAGCAGGTTTGGAAAGCTCTAGCTTAATGCATGCTGCAGAATTAGACTTCTCCACCAAGACACTTCCCCCTATTATGCAGCCACCTACACTTGAACTGAAGCCTCTGCCCAAGCACTTGAAGTATGCATTTTTAGAGGGTGATAACAGGCTGCCAGTAATCATTCCAGCAGATTTGGATGTTGCACAAGAGAAGTTGTTGCAAACTTTAGCAATCCACAAGCAAGCAATTGGGTAGACTTTGGCAGACATACCATAAATTAGCCCATCCATTTGTATGCACAGAATTCTACTAGATGAAGATGGAAAACCTGTAAGACAGCCCCAAAGAAGGCTGAATCCCACCCTCCTAGAGGTAGTGAAGAAAGAAGTTGATAAACTGTTAGCTACTGGAATAATATACCCGATCTTCGATAATGAGTGGGTGAGTCTGATTCATGTTGTACCTAAGAAGACCGGCATAACAGTCACAAAGAACCAATTTGATGAGCTAATTCTGACCAGAATTCAGAATGGGTGGCGAGTCTGTATTGATTATAGGAAGCTGAATCACATCACTTGCAAGGACCATTTTTCCTTACCTTTTATTGATTAGGTCTTGGAGCGGATAGCAGGAAAATCCCATTAATGCTTTCTATATGGATTTTCTGGTTACTTTCAAATACACATAGCCCCAGAGGATCAACATAAAACTACCTTCACTTGTCCTTTTGGTACCTTTGCTTACAGACGGATGCCATTCGGATTGTGTAATGCGCCTGACACTTATTTGCGGACTTCCTAGAGACCTCACTTGAAATATTCATGGATGACTTTACTGTTTATAGGTCTCATTTGATGCATGTTTACATAGCTTGTCTAGAGTTTTAGATAGGTGAATATAGTTCAATTTAGTTTTAAATTATGAGAAATGTCATTTTATGGTGACCGAAGGGACTGTACTAGGGCATGTAGTGTCAAGTAGGGGTATTGAGACTGATAGAGCCAAGATTGATGTAATTGTTTCTTTACCTTACCCTACTTCTATGAAAGAAGTGCGCTCTTTTCTTGGCCATGCAAGTTTCTATAGGCACTTTATCAAGGATTTCAATAGAATCGCGTCCTTATTATCTACCTTTTTGCAAAAAGATACTGATTTCATCTTTGGTTCAGACTTGCAAGGACACTTTTGATGAGTTAAAGAGGCACCTCACTTGTACTCCAATCATTCAACCTCCAAGTTGGGAGATTTCGTTCAAGCTTATGTGTGATGCTTTGAACTTTGCAGTTGGTGTTGTCCTTGGTCAAAAAGTGGAGAAGCAACCCCATGTCATAGCCTATGCTTCTCGGACATTGGATAAAGCACAAGCAAACTACACCATTACAGAAAAAGAAATTTTAGCCATTGTTTTTTCTTTACATAAATTTTGTTCATATTTATTTGGCTTTAAAGTAATTATTTTCTCTGATCATGCAGCTCTGAGGTACTTGCTTAAAAAGTCAGATTTTAAACTGAGACTAATTCGCTAGATACTTCTTCTGGAAGAGTTTGACATTGAGATCAAAGATAAATGTGGTGCAGAAAACTTAGTGGCAGACCATTTGAGCAGAATTCAGCAGCCACTTGAGGATCTCCCTATTAGAGACACCTTTCCAGATGAGTGAGCAACTTTACCACATTGGAGGGCATGATCCTTGGTATGCAGACTTGGTGAATTATTTGCATACCAAGGCGATTCCTACATACTTTTTCAAAGCTCAAACTGCCAAGTTAAAGAGTGATTCCAAATACTACATTTAGGATGATTCATACTTATGGAAGATGTGCAGTGATAAGATTATTAGACGATGTGTGCCCGAATCAGAGTTTTAGTCTGTGCTTAGATTTTGTCATTCCTTGGCTTGTGGTGGACACTTTGGACCTCAACGTACAGCCCGGAAGATTTTAGATTATGGATTATATTGGCCTACAATGTTTCGGGATGCACACAAATATTGTAAGACATGTGAGCGATGCCAAAGGACTGGAAACATTTCATGCCGAAATGAGATGCCCCAACTACTTCTCCTTTTCTGTGAGGTGTTTGATGTATAGGGCATAGATTTTATAGGTCCCTTTCCTGTTTCATTTAGCTATACCTGTATTTTGTTAACAGTGGACTATGTCTCCAAGTGGGTGGAGGTAAAGGCCACTCATACGGATGATGCTCATGTTGTTATAGATTTTGTAAAGTTATATATTTTCTGTAGGTTTGGATTTTCCAGAGCATTAATCAGTGATCAGGGACCACACTTTTGTAATTGCACAATGGCTGCCTTACTTTGGAAGTTTGGGGGTTATGCATAAAGTTTCTACACCATACCTCCCTCAGACTAACAGACAAACAGAGATCTCCAATCAAGAAACAAAGCAAATCCTGGAGAAGACTGTCCAACCCAACAGAAAGGATTGGAGTCTACGCTTAGAGGAAGCTTTGTGGGCTTACAGAATCACCTACAAAACACCCATAGGAATGTCTCCTTATCAAGTTCTTTTTGGTAAGGCATGTCATCTACCAGTAGAAGTGAAGCATAAGGCATTTTGGGCGATCAAGCAATGTAACCTAGATATAGAGGCAGTTGGCTGGCATAGGAAGCTTCAATTACAAGAGTTGAAGGAGATTCATAGAGAAGCATATGAGAACTCTAACATCTACAAAGAGTGCATCAAGGCTTTTCATGATAAGCTAATAGGGCGTAAAGAGTTCCACATTGGTGACAAAGTCCTTTTATATAATTATAGACTTAAGTTTATGCCTGGTAAATTGAGATCTTAGTGGGATGGTCCTTTTCTTGTTATTAACGTTTTTCTTTATGGTGTTGTTGAACTTTAGGATATGGGATCGCAAAGGAGCTTCAAGGTTAATGGGCATCGGCTCAAGGTTTTTCATGATAGCTTGGGGGAACATGAACAAAGGGAGACCACTTTTGAATTGGCCACCTGCCTGATTTATAGGGAGTTTTCTTACCTCTCTCTCACTATTGGATTGTTTGAATTGTCCTTATGATTATTGTGTTTTCCATTGAGGACAATGTTAATTTCAGGTGGGGGGAGTATTATGTTTTTGGTGTGTACGTAGTCTAATTAAGTGATTATTTCAAGGTTTTGATGGATTGATTGAATCTTTCTTCAGTTTGATAGGTGGACTTTGATATCTTCTATGTTTGAATATTTTGGATAAAATATATACCTTGTGAGGTTTTGAGCCATATAGATGACAATATTATGTCATTTTACTTTCCTTTATTGTATTATTGCACTTATGGTTGTATGACACTAGAACTTGCCTTGAGCCTTTTTGAGACTATATTTCCATATGCTTACATTAACATGATAGAGACATCATTCTCTATGCCTGTGTGAGTGTGATAGTATGAAGTACTCACCCTTACATTTATTTTTCAGGTGACCAAGATGATCAACACCAGACTTAATGAACGGGAGGGATGAAACTGCTATAGGACTTAAGAAATTATTTTTGAAAATTGTGATGTATTTAAATTAGTCTTGTAGCATTTATTTTGATGCAAATTTGTAGCCCTTCCTTGTTTTGAAATACTTTATTAAAACCATATATTGGAACCATTGAATGAAATTTTATTATTCTATTTGTCACAAAATTAATTTATTTTAAAAATTAAATTAAGGTGTTATAATTCAGCTAAATAAATCGTGCCTAAGGTCAGACACATATAGACTTAGTCCAAAACAAATATTTCGAAGAAGATATGTTTCAACCATTCAATATTAATCAAACATGCACCACCAACTATAATAAACAGCAAAACTCCAATTTAAACATATATTCATGAGACAAATACATATAATATTACACTTTCATCAGCACAATTATATTCAACATTTTAATAGTGGGATGGAGCTCTCATTACCTCAATAAAAAGATTTACTAGAAGGTTTGAGGAAGATATTATCCAAAGGATCAAGCTCTTTATACATATATATATATATATATATATATATATATATATATTACAAAATAGAGCACCATTAAGAAGGAAGAAAAATGAAGAAAGAAATAAGATTAGAGAACTAAGCTCCTAGAAACTTACTTGAGATCAAATAGAAAGGAAATCCGAGTTCAAATTTGAAGGTATTTTGAAGTTCAGGAGATGTTACTCTACGAAAAGGAGTGAGAGAAAAGTGAAAAGGAGTTGTTTGGCTTACAATACAAGTTTTAAAAGAAAGAGATTCCTTAAATATCTTTTTGGCCCGCTAAGTCTTGCTTGAGCAAGACACATTCTTGCTTGGAATAGACTCCTCTTGCTTGGGTGAGAACACCAAACAAAAATTTTATACACAAATTTTGATAATCTCACCCATGCAAGAATAGGTCTAAAGAGCTCCTACTTTTCTCCATGTCTTCTCTCCTGGGCGAGAAGATACTTGGAACAGTATTATCCCTTTTCACTTGGGCAAGGTTATGTAATTATTTTAATATCAATTTTAGAATTTATAATACTTTAGTAAATTTTATTGTAAATAGTAATTTAAAATATATATGTAATATTGGTAATTAGCCATTTTAATAATAGCTCACATTCATTTTTTATAGAAATTTTCTTTGTCGAAAGTCAGTGATATTTATGTTCCAAACTTACATAAATGAAATATAAATTAAGTAAAGTATTAAGATGTAAATTTTAACTTTACTATATTTATAAATTTAAAGTTTTAGAACTATTTCTTTTAAAATTTTTAATGACTTTGAATTCTTTTTTATAACTTAATCAATTGAAACTTAAGTTGATCTAGTTTCTTCAATCACTTAAGCTATAAATATAAAAAAAAAATTACTTTATTTTTTTTCGTTATAAATTATTATCTATATTATATAAGAAATTAAAGATATTATAAAAATAAATATTAAACAAATATAAATAATGTATCAATGGTGTTATCATTGGTGATAATCGAAATACTTATATGATTTGTATTTGTTTAGTCTATGCATGTTAGAGATCTCTCCTTGAATACCACACAATCTCAGTAAGAGATCATTGCCAACTTAGCTCAAAATCAAATCAAAGATATTTTAAATATGATTTATATAAATTAAATTTTAAATTCATATATATTTTTTAAATTAGTTTAAAATTTGTTTTAAAGTTTAAATTTAATTTAAAATCACCTTTAATTTTGGTAAAATATACTATAAATATTTTTATACTATTATTAAATTATTATATTAAAATATTTTATTATAATTAATATAAAATTATATCTGCATATATTTTAATAAATTAATAATATAGTTTTTTACATTCATATTATATTAAAATTAATTTTATATTTTTACTTTATATTATTTATCTAATATTAACTAATTATATTGATTAAATTTTAAATTAATTTATTTTCTTTTATTTTAAAATTAGTTTTAAATTTTAAATTTTAAATTTTAAATTTGATTTAAAATCAACTTAAAATGTGATTTTAGTTAAAATTGGTTTTAAATTTAACGTTAAGTTAGTTTTAAATTTGGTATTATATTAAATTTGTTTTAAATTTAATTTTTTTTAAAAAAATTTCAATACATTTATAAAATTAGTTTTTAATCTAAAGTTAATTCATTGTACTATACCGTTGTATTAAATTAGTATATTTGAAAATATTTTAGTAGTTTTTATTAATTATATTATATTTTATAAAAAAATTATAAAATATTTATTTTTTTTAACTTATTTTTAATAAATAGAATTAATGATGAAATTTTAAATTAAAACTTATAAAAAATATTAATATTAAATAATAATAAAAATATTATGTTTTAATATTTTAAAATTTTAAATTTAAATATAAAAATAATAACAATAATTAATTGAAAATAGTTATTATATTTTTATATATTTAATATAATAATTATATTTTAAATATTTAGTCTTAATTATAAAAATTAAGATTAAAAAAATATTAATAGTAAAATGTAGTTATAAAAAATTTAGTAATTCTAAAATAATAAAATAATATAATAATTCTATTTTTTTAAGAAAAATTAATTTATATATTTTTAAAAAACTATTAATTCATTAAAGATTTTGAAACGCATAATTTAAATTTATTTAAGAACAGTTTGATTTGTTTTATTTTTATAAGTACTTAATAAAGTATTTATTTAGACTGAGTTAAGTGCTTCTACAAAATAACCAGCTAGGAAAGGAAGTTACCTTTTAAACCTCTTTTTTTACTTGTTATTTTTCCAAAAAGCATGTTATTCTTAAAATATATACTCACGGGCCAGGGCAAACCTTTTTAAAATTCCTTACTTCTTCCCTTTTCTCTCGCATAATCTTAAATTAAAATTCTAAAATAAATTAATTGTCGTTCAAAATTTTAGAAACTAGATAGCACTCCAAAACCCCATTTTAGTGGCTCTTATATTAAATTAATTGACCTTTCTAAGTGTACCAAATAAGACACTACTTGGTCTTACCTACAAAAAAAGGAAAGCGAGTACTCCCTCGGTCAAGATAAGCTAAATACCCTCTCGGTCAGGATTGAAGGTAATTAACCCAATTTAGAGTAATAATTAAATTATTATCTACTCTAATCAAAGGGCCAAAACCAAGGCTGACTCAACAAGCCCATTAGCCCATAATATTTTCTATAAAAGGAAAGTAAGAGGTACAAGTAAAAGGTTGACTTTTGAATATTTAATAGTATTTACTGCTCAAAATCGAGACCTGACTTCAATATCAAATGTCTTTTATAGGTACCTTTCCCATATCAACAACGTACAGAAGGACGTCATCTTACTCAGACAGAAATCAGAAGATTAATGTTTCTCCAACAGGAATACTAAGAATTGTCAATAATAATTTTATCCTCGTTTCAAATTTCTCACTGGTCTTATTATGGAATTGACAACATTGTTTAATCTAACTCAATTTTTAATTAAGCTAATTTATTTTTTACTTAATCGGAAGTTACAACTTTCACTTAAACAAATTAAAAATTATTAAAAAAAATTAAACACTTAATTTTTTTTACAAACTAGAAATAATTTATATATGTTAATTTCATCGTACATTACGTATATTTTTTTCAAACTTATTTTAAATAGATATTAATTTTTAAGGTAAATATCAAATGATATTTTAGGATATTGATTAAAAATGTAAAAAACTTAAATTAAAAATATTACTATATTTTCATCATAATTTCAATATATTCCTACTGTATTTTTAATAATCTGTTATTTGCAAATACTTTATGAAGCAATATTTTGTTAATCAAGATTGCATCCACACTCGCTAATTAAAATCACTCTGTGGTCCGGCTTAATGATTAAAATAATATTTTTTAAAAAACTAATTACCAAAATAAATTAAAAATTAAACTAATTCTCTGTCTGGGGCAAATTTTTACCAATTCAGCCTATGTTTCGCATAAAAGTCAGACGAAATTAATTTTTTTTATTTTTTATTTAACTATTTCGTCTAAAAGTAAGACAAAACACTCCATAATTTGACACGTGTTAATGATTTCATATGAAATTAGGACAAAATTTTAAGATGTCGACACATGTTCAAATCTCATTAAATTCATCTTAATTTTAGACGAAATTACGAGATGTTGACAGCTGGCACAATTTTATTAAATTTGGCTTTATTGCAGACAAAATTATCTCTAAATTCGTCTACTTTCATGACAAAATTCATATCACCTGACAATAATTGGGGTCATTATTTCCTTACAACGGTTCTCATTTGTCCAATAATGATCCAATCAGAAAGCCAAGAGCTAAAATTTGCTCCTAAATCTAACAAGTACACCTCACCCCACGGCTCCCTTTTTCTTTTACAAAATTTAGATACAACTTTTTATTTATTTATTTTACTTTTTTAAAAAATTAACTTTTATTTTTAAAATTATATTAATTCTTTTAGTATTTCACTCTTGTAAAATAAAAAATGTTATATATCAATTTTTTTAAAATTATAAAAATATGAAAACTCAAAAATCACCAATAATAAATTAGTTAAATTAAAAATTTGTCATTTTTATATAAAATTAGTTAATTCTATTCAAAACACATTTTGAGTTTAACTAATTTTATTCATTGGTGATTTTTTATTTTCATATTTTCATAATTCTTTTCAAAATTTTATATTACACTTTTGTTTAGTATAGATGAAAGAAATCTATTTTTTTTAATGCATGACTAATAACATATAGTGAAAAATTATCTCTCGCTTAAGGTTTGTGTCAGATTTTTATATATTTTTGCTCCCATACTATATAATAATCGTAATTCATCAATATTCGTCTCAGTTTTGGTTTTTGGACTTTGGTTTGTATTGTCCATGTACTGTACAGGGAAGAAAGATGATTTCATCTACAGTGAAGACGAATTTAATAAAATTGTGCCAGCTGTCAACGTATCATAGTTTTGTCTAAAATTAAGATAAATTTAATGAGATTTGGACAAAGGTTCACATCTTATAGTTTCATCACAATTTCATACAAAATCATTAATATTATTAAATTATGGAGTATTTTATCTTATTTTTAGATGAAATAATTAAATAAAAAATAAAAAAAAATTAATTTTATCTAATTTTTATACAAAATATAGACAGAATTAATAAAAATTTACTCTACACATAAAATTAATTTAATTTTTAATTTATTTTAATAATTAATTTTTAAAAAAATATTATTTTAATCATTAAGTCCTGTCCTCGTGACGACAAAACTCTTTTTAATAATGTTGCAACACATATTCATTTTATACTTGAAAAGTAGTTTTGTATTTATAATCTTCGGTCGGCGTGAATCCATAGGCATAGGGAACAGTTATATTTATTATATAATACATACCCGAGTTGCACGATATGTTTTTTTTTTAACCGTCATTTAATATTCTTTGTCTTATAGACTTTATGTGACAGAAAAAGGGTTGGATATGTATCGGAGATCTCTCCTTGACACTACACAATCTTGTTCCAACTTATCACAATAACTGATTGACCCAGATTTGGAGGGGGCTTTATGTCACACTCTGTGGTCCCCTCGCGACGACAAATTTTATGTTACATTAAAATTATAAAAATATAATAAATATTTATTTTTTTAATAAAAATTTAATATTATTATTTATTTATCTTTAAACTTGAGAATTCATGGTAATATCTTTAACAAATTTTAAATATTTATAAGTATATTATTCAAAATTTTATATTAATTTATATTTAAAAATATATTATTCATTAAAATAAAATAAAATAATAAAATATTTATTGTTTTATTTTTATATAATTATATAAAATCGATTCACTTTAGAAGAATTTTTAAATTAATAATTTAATTAATTAATTTCACATTTTATAAAAAAGTAACACTTAATAGATGTATATCATTATAATTAAAAGATTTTCTAAAATTAATTAAAAAAGAACCAAAAAATATTAAGTGATCTAAGATTATACTTGATTATTACGTTATGAGTTTATATATATACATATATATATATATATATATATATATATAAACACGTGAACTTTAAAACAATATCAAAATTACAATGTGAATTTATATTTAAATAGTTATAAATTATATTTTTTTATTAAATTTATGTTACAATTTTTTAAACAATTAATAATAACAAACTTTTAAGTATAAAAATTAAATTGTAAATCTGTTAATGATAAGTGCCAAATATGTATTAAAATTTAAAAAAAAAATACATAACACGAAACTTAGTTAAAAAAAAGAGTGTTTAATAACTGAATCTTGTTTTCATATTACAATTTATTTTTTATTAATTTTACTGTTCTACCTTCTATTATCATTAACTTTCTTATCATAATCTTTTAATACTAACTATCTTACAAACAATATACACTTTTCATATAGTAATATCTATCAAAACTTTAGAAAAATATCTTTTATAAAAAATAAAAAATATATTATATTTAATATATGAAATTATACTTTTATTCATAAAATATCTACTTTGTTACATAAATGAATTACTAACTTTTTTATTATTATATAAAGAGTTGTTACTATGTTAACTGAAAATTTTATTAATTATTTTTTATAATTTTTTTATTAATTAGACATTTTATTTATAAAAAAAATTTAAGTATATTTAATTTTTTATGATAAAAAAATATTTATCATAAGTGAATTATTCTTAATATTTTATTAATTATAATTATATTGTGTCAATTAATCTATTTATTCACTAAATTAATAAATTTTACATCAATCGATACATATGATTTTTTACCATAAATAATCATTTTGATATAAATAATATTCATTTATAAATTAATTTTTATATTTTAAAAAATTATGTTTTAATTTTTATATAAATATTTTGTTATGTTTTAACATCTATTGCTGTAATACAGTTAACAATGAGAAATAAAACATAATAAAATGTTTTTATAAAAATTAAAATATAAGTTTTAAAATAAAAAAATCATTTTATAAATATTAATTATAGAAAATAAATACATAGTTTAATTTTAAAATTAATAAAAAAATATTAAATTGGCTAATGTAATAAATAAGGTTAGTGTAGTTAGTATCAATCACTATTTTATTAATTGCTGAAATTGTAATGCGAATGTGAGAGCTGTCACCGACGCATCTTCTATGCAAACACACTATCAACCGTTGTAGTTGGAACAAACGAAAAATACGTGGTCATTACAATTAATCTCTATGATCCTTTTAACTATTCTAACACGAATGAAAATTATAATTTTAGACCTGAATACGTTCCTATTACCTGAATAACTTGATGGAGCTAATTACCATATTAGACGTAGAATTATGAAAGAAACACTTCTCTCAAAGAATAAATATAAATTTATTGATGAGAACATAATAGTGATTCTCTTCATGATACTTAGAAATTGAGTGATCCACGACAACAAGCTAATCTAATAAAAACTAACCAACTCATTTCATCATTTATATCATTTCTATTAAATCTAATAACAATCAACCAACGTATTATTTTATTTTAACAAAAAATACTTTTTTAAATAAAATAAATATAAAATTAAGTAAAGATTTTAGATAACTTAAGTAAGTTATATTCGCTTTTATATTGTTAATAATTAATATAAAAAAATAATTTTTATTTATTTTATTATTAAATTAGAATTATATAATATTTAAATTATTTTGTCAAAATTGAATATATATAATATTATTATTAATATTTTTATATATTTCAAAAGCACATATTGCATTAATTTTGATATAAACTAATAAATTACAAATAATTTTGAATCAATATTAAATTTTTTATCAAAAAAAATTTATTAAATAGTGTAAAAGTTAGTATATAATTGATCACTCTCCACACACAAGATTAATTAATGTTTTAAAATATTTCATTAAAAATATATTTATTTTAGTAAAATATTTTAATAATTTATTTTTTAGTTAATATTGATAGCGAGATTCAAAATATCGATCATAAATGCTCTATTATTATTGAGGCAATATATTAATAATTGGGAGAATTGGATGTTGTTTTCCGGTTGGTTGCTACCACTCGATGACAACTCTGTTATTGGAATTAAGTGGGAATACTTTCACATGAGATAGAACATAAACAAATTAAGAGTTTATAAAGAAAAGGAAGTGTGTACCTGTTGTCTTAAAATATTGGGTTGTACTCTGATATTCTACAAGGCTCTCTTATCTTTAGCTCCCCCTCCACATGGAAAAGACGAGAGTATGATGTAAACTATGGAGGGAGAATGTTGAAGATAGATTTATACGTGGCTGTGAACAAATATTAAACGAATAATTCTAAACTTTTTTTCTGTTATTTTTGTAATATTTTATAAAAAATAGAAATATTATTAAAAAGATATTTAAAAAATTAGGAAATTTACATGTCACGTAGTGGACTAGTGGTGCATAGTTTTTTTATTTTAAAAATAATAATTTCAACTTTAAAAATTAAATTCAAATAATTTTTAACAATAATATTTCATTAAAAATTTTATTATATTTTTAATATAATAAATGTTGTATATTTTAAGGTATTAACTACAAAGGTTATCAAAACTTATTTTGTTCTGTTAATTCTATGAATAATAAAATAGAGCGTTGGACTCGTCGAATTACTAAGATCCTGGTTTTAATAAGGGCAAATATTTTACATTGTTATTAGAATAGCAATGGGTTCATATTTATCTCAACATTATTACGGATATATTTTTATATTAAATTTACTTTCAGAAAAATGTTTAGCGTGTTTGAACGTACATGCATTTAAAATAATTATCCTTAATGTTGACGTACGGGAATAGCAGATTTTGGTGACAACTGAAATACTTGTATTGTCATGGCCTTGTCTGGTGGTCTATGCATATTAGAGATCTCACCTTGGACACTGCACAATCTTGTTAAGAGACCCGTGCCAACTTATCACAGGAACTGATTACTGAGATTTGGAGGTGGCTTTATGGCGCACTCTCCAATAAGGGAACATTTGTGCTGACTTTATGGGAAAGCTTACTTTGAAAATCCAACTAATTATTGAACCGATGGAACTAAGGCTGAGTCACAGTACATTGATGCAATAATTATCAACTAACATAATCGAAATCCGACAGAATATGGTGGAAGAATCCAATCTCAAAATTACCAAACATTAGGAAAAATAAACAAGGATAGCCCTTTTCATTACAAACAAAACAAAGGCATAGTTAAGGAAGAAACTACAAGGCATGAACCTCGCTTAGGTGCTGGAAGTAATCTTATGCTTTTGAAGAGCAGCAATGCAATCGTCAATGTATTGATTATGAAGATCCGCAGAACTGAAAATCTTTCCCATTTCATTCGCATTTTTCCTCAAAGTACTTCCTTCCTCATCTACCATGGCAAACCTCAATGCCTTGGCCACGGAGTCTCTAGTAAACGACCCATCTTGCTCACTCCTTGTTACCTCAATAGCCACTTTCTTTTCTTCTAGAACCCTTGCGAACAAAGCTTGGTCTAGCAAATAGGGCAGGGTCACAAGAACGTGCCCGAAATTAAGCATCTCAACGAGAGAATTAATACCACAGTGACAAATGCAACCCCCAATAGCTTCATGACCCAATATCTTAGTTTGAGGCGCCCAAGTCTTCCAAACAATGCCCCGATCCTTGGTTCTCTCTTCAAACCCTTCTGGCAACTCAAGTATTCCTGCTTTCAGAATCCTCAAAGCCCAAAAGAATGGCAACCCAGAAAGCTCAATGCCGTGAGCCAACTCGGTGAGGTCTTGCTGACTCAGAATCAACTCGCTCCCAAAAGCTACGTAAACCACAGAAGAGGGCTCTAGTGTGTCTAACCAGGCTTTGATTGTGACCCAGTCCTGGCTGTTGTCTTCGTCTTCAACGTCTCTTATGTGAATAGAGGGTGGAACCAAACCCACTGGAACAATGGGGATGTTGTATCTGTTTGCAAGATAATCTAACCATTCTCCTTCGAGTTCTCTGCATGTTCTGAGAAGAAACATGTCACCACTAGAATATGCTTTGCTGAGATCAAACGTTGCCCTTTTTCCTGTGTTCTCGTCTGTGATAGCACTCACTGCTCTCATGATTTCGTGAGGCCTTAGACGAACATTGGTGTGAAAAGGAAGCCACGTGGGGGGGCCACACATATCTTCAATCGTAAAATTTGACTTCAGTTGATCCTTGGGTGGATCGTAGAACACTTTGTTCCATGCTGGGGTAATGTTGTAATGTGCACAAGGAATGTTGAGGGCCTTAGCTATTGGTGGTAACCACTCAGTTGCAAAATCGTAGAATACCCAATCGGGTTTTGAAGTTTTGAGCAAGTTGGCTATATCATCTTTGAGACCTTCGTATGCCAACTTGAGGTAGTAGCTCTTGTTGGTGGGAACGTCCATCGTGCTCTCTCCACCTTCTGGGAGATTCTCTACATGTGGCAAGGGAAGGCTCACGAATGTAATGAATGGTTCCAAGTGTTTTGGGGTTTTGGGCATGCGATCAATGTTTTTTGGGGTGCTTATGAAGGTCACCAAATGACCCTTTTCAGCAAATATCTTAGCTAGCTCGAAGTAGGGGGTGATGTGACCCACCGCGAGCCATGGAATCATGGCAACATGAAGGCTATTCGAGGAAAATGAAGCCCCTGCATCCATAACTCTTTTTCTTTTGCAGCAGATTGTATCGTGTAAGATGACTTCCTCCGCTTAAATAATTATGACGGAAACCCTGTACACGTCATCAAACCAGTTGGCTAAATGATTTAAATAATATTAATTTTTAAAAAATTATCATAATAAAATACAAAAAGTTATTCTATGCCTAGAGTAAATTTTTGCCACCTGATTTCGTATTCAAATCAGACGAATTCAATATTTTATTTTTTAAAATTAATATTTCGCTAAAAGAAAAATAAAACATCTAAGAAGGCGACATGTGTTAATAATTTTGTATGAATGATAGACGAAACAACTGCCACATGTTAACATTTAAGTAATTCGTTTCAAAATTAGACAAAACTATAAGATGATAACACGTGTTTGTATCTGGTTAATTTCATCTGCAGATGAGACGAAATGAATATGGCTTTCGCCCATACTTGAGACAAAATCACTATTGCCCATTGGTCAAAACACATACGCTGCACCCTTTTATCCAGCACAATTGAAGTATAAAAATGTTATGTTTGCTGGGACCAAATCTATCACATTAAAAGAAGCAGAGGAAGATTGTTGGGAAATATTGGTAAAGATTGGAAGAAATTTTAAGGTTAGTCAATTTTGAATTTTTTTTAGAATTTTTGTTATTAATAAATTATTCAAATAGAAATGTTTAAATTATTTAAAATAATAGAAGTAGTTAAAATATATAAATATTTAATAAATATTTTTTGCGTATGTTAAAAATAAAAATAAAATTTTAAATATTTTTAAATAAATTATAGAAGTTAGTAGATATTTGATATTAACTTGTTTAATAAAAAAAATGATGTTATATTTGTTGAAAATATTTATTTTATATATGTGGAAAAAATATTACATTTTTTGTAATATAAAATGATGTGAAAAATAATAGTATATTTGTATGTGTTAAAAATAATTTATTTTTATTATTTATATAAATAAGTATAATTGTAAATTTTTATTGATATATATATTTTTTATAAATGCAGGATGAGTGAGATTATTATTATTGTATATTAGAATAGAAAAATTGTTGTTGGAAACGAAGGTATGACATTTGAAGGTAACAAAAAAATGATAAAGATAAAAAGAGGGATAAGTTTTATGAATTTAAAGAAAAAGATTCATGAGAAATTGAATCTTAGTAATAATCATGTCATATCTAGAATTATTTCTCGGTTTATGGTTGATTCAAGCACTAAACAATACAATGCATTGGATATATGTGATGATGAAGACATTAATTGTATGATTAATGCGTATCAACAACAAAATATTACAACTGTTATTGAATTATATGTGGATATTGCATTTGGTGAGAGTTCAAGAGTTAAGTCAAATATGTTGGACTTAAGCTTATCAATGTTAGCGCATAACCTCATGGAAATGGAGAATATAAATGTTACAGAAGGTATAAATTATATTGTTTCTCCTTAATTTTAATTTATTTTTAGTAACAACACATATTGAATAAGTGTATGTATTTTGAAGGATGTGGAGATTTATATAGCTATGAAGATGAAGATGAAGATGAAGATGAAGAAGTCAATAATGAAGATGATGATGATGATATTGATGAAGGACATATTCCGTTAGACAGCTCGTTAGATATAGACGTTGATGGTGATTTTGATTCAAACTTAAATTTACAACAAGAAAATATTGGAGGTAACATTTAAAGAGTATATTGATTATGTCATTTAATTTATTTTAATGATGAATAATTTATTTCAATATGTAGTTGTAGGTGAAATACCATTTTGGAATGTAAGTCCACACTACAATTATATTAATTGGGACCACCCAGACCAAGAAATTGAAGCAGAAGAAATTAGTGAAGATATTTCATGGGTTATTGGAGATCTATTATGTGTGGGTTTATTATTTGATTCAAAAGACGAAGTGAAAAATGCCTTAAAACAACATGTAATGAGGATACATCAGAATTATTTTGTTGTTGAGTCAAAACTAACAAAGTTGCATGTGAGGTGTTTAAACCATAACAATGGTTGCCCATAGAGAATAAGAGCATCATTGCTTAAAAATTCAATAAAGTGGAAAATAACAAGGTGTGGGGGTAAGCATACATGTCTCAACCCTTCAATATCTCAAGATCATACCAAACTAGATTCAGATTTGATTTGTTCATACATAATTGGTAAGTTTTGTATAATATTTGTTTTCGTGAAGCTTTTCTCAATAAACGTACTTAGGTCTTTTGTTGTGTTTTGTGTAGGTATGGTTAATCTTGAACCATCATTGCCTATAAGTCTAATTCAAGAAAGGATGACAAGTCAATTTGGATATAAAATTTCATACAAAAAGCTTGGAAGGCAAAACAAAAGGCGATTGTTAGAATATTTAGTGATTGGGATGAATCATATGCTACATTACCAAGATGGTTAGAGTACATGCAATTTCATGCTACAGGGTCTGTTTATAAGATTGAAACAAAACCATTTGTTGTTGGGCATCAAGAGGATAACAGATTTAGAGTATATAAGTGATTATTTTGGTGTTTTCATCAATGTCGGGAAGCATTCAACTTTTGCAAACCTATTGTTCAGGTAGATAGAACATTTTTGTATGGTAAGTATCGTCACACCTTGTTGATTGCAACAACACAAGATGGAAATAATTGTGTCCTACCACTTGCGTTTGCAATTGTTGAAGGAGAGATTCTGTCAGCGTGGGAATGGTTTTTGGCAATGATTCGTGTGCATGTAACAACAAAGACAGGAATATTTTTAATATCTAATAGGCATCAAAGCATCAAAAGTGTTGTTTCAAACCCACATATTGGATGACAACCTCCCAATGCATATCATGTTTATTGCATTCGTCATATTGCCATCAATTTCAATCAAAGATTCAAGAACATTGAGTTGAAGAAACAACTGACAAAATTAGGTAATATGATTTAATTCATATTTGGCTTCCTCTTACTTTATATTTATTTTAATTGTCAAGTCATGTACATTGTAGCATATATACCTTCAAAGCTTGTATTTGAAGAGAAGTTGAGAAGATTTTGCACTGAATCACCAAAAATACAGAGATGGATTGATAACATATCGAAGGAAAAGTGGGCTTTGAGTCATGACAACGACGGACGTCGTTATGGACATATGACCACAAATTTGTCTGAGGCTGTGAACAAGGTCTTGAAGGGGGCAAGGAACTTACCTATAACCGCTCTGGTCAAATGCACATATAGATGAATGGTTGAATATTTTGTGAAGCATGGAGAGGAAGCAATGAATGACCTTAATGTTGGTAAGAGGTTTTATTCTAAACTGGTGGTAAACATGCAAAAAAATTAATAGGAAGCATCTTCCTATCAAGTGAGACAATATGATATAGCAAGAACAAAGTTTGAGGTTGAAGAGGCCTTTAATCCTATCACGCAAAAGGGTGGTAACAAATGGACTGTTATTCTATGTACAAAATACTGTGAATGTGGAAGATTTCAGGCATATCAATTTCTATGCTCACATGTGATTGCTGCATGTGCATCAGTAAGTATTGACTTTTGGCAATATGTTGATGATGTTTACTTGGTACAAAATATTGTCAATGCATATTCATCACAGTGGTCCCCTTTGGGAAATGATGGGAGTGTTCTCCAAAACAATGAGTCGAAGCTAGTGCCTGATGAGACGAGAATAAGAGGAAAGGGAAGACCAAAATCAACTCGAATTAGGAATGAAATGGATTGGGTTAAGTCACAAAGTAGACACAGATGCAGTAATTGTTGTCAAATTGGTCATAATGTACGTCAATGTACTTCTACACAAGCTAATGATAGGATTGACCGAAGGATATTATGTAAACATATCGTTTTATGTTATTTGGTGTTTTCAACATTTTCTTAGAATTAAAACTTATTTAGCAATATGATATAGCAATATAACTCATAGATTCAATATGTAAATCATGTTCAAATATGTTCATGAAACATCACATAAAGCTACATAAGATGAAATCACAGCAAAATCTCATATATTACATCACAGGTATGTATCACTAGTGCCTAAAAGATGTCAATCTCTATCTTCGTGCGGCTGGTCGGGTTGATGTGGGGTCAAGATGCACTCCTTAGGCCTATCTCTGGCTTCACAATGTGGATTACGACGCACCTCTGGAGGTGGAACATCTAAGACTGCTTCAAAGTCAACATTCAAATCTATTCCATGACTGTATGAGGTATCATATGAGGTTCCACTATCAACCGCAACAGCTGGTGCTGGTAGTGTTAGGATACCTGCATCAAAGTCTGGTGTGAGCTCTATACCACCTCATATACTCAGAGTTAGAACTCAGCTGACCAATCTGGGGGTCATTAGTCATGACCTAATCTCTCCTTCTTTCCCAAATGTCCAATACATGCCTCAGCTTCTCTTACCAATTCTCTGTTGTCTTCCCTCGCAGTGTCAAGTCATGTAGTGCATCTGGCTGGTATGGGGCACGAGGTATATGTTGAACCATACCAAATTGGCACATTACTTGATCTGGTTGGTGCCACTCACACACTTGAAAACATACCAGAGGCACTACAGCCCTCAACAAATCCATTCCCTCACAACATATAGGTGGTAATGCATTAATCAAATCAATCGAATATGGTTGCCAAATTATCTGCATAAAATATATCAGATATTAAGGTAATGTTACTTTTAATATATGATAACAAGCTTGAAATATGACTAATATGACTATAAGATATGTCTAATTATCTATAATAGATTTACCTCTTCACGACTAAGCATGTCAAATTTATATCTATAATAGGATATGTCCTTCCTCCCTTTTCTATTCCTTTGGTTTGCCAACCACCTGCAAACAAAATTAAGCATAATGTTAATACATTTGTTATAATCCAATCAATATATAACAAATACATGTTCCATATTACCTAGTAGCATATGGAAGATGGAGTCGTGTGTGAGGAGGGTTACCAGGAGCTAGAACTAGAGACCTATCCCATGCCCACATGACAAGTAATGCAGCCATTCCACCTAAACCATGCCGATCAATGTTGGTGGCCATACACAGCTCCCTATACAAAAATTCCAAAACTGCAGACCCCCAATTATATTCACCAGTGATAGCAAAATCCTCTAGTAAAGGTAAGTACCTCACAGAGACTCTACTGCTAGAGTGATCACTCAACATAAAACTCCCCAATCAACTGCAACATATAAGCCCTAGCAAATCGAGTGATCTGTAAAGGATTCTGTGCATGCATCGCCACATGGGTAAAATGTTGGTCTAGCCAACTCGTCTTCAAGAAGCTACTAACAAAATCTGCACGTGATGGTGTAATCCCTAGACTCTCCTCAACAATATCAGCATAATTACCTCTAATAGGTGCTATCACAGGTCTTCTATCAATGCGTAAACCTAACAATACTGATATATCCTGCAAAGTGATTGTACACTCGCCCAGAGGTAAGTGAAAAGTGTATGTCTCTGGCCTCCATCTCTCTACTAATGCAGTGATCAATGGGAGGTCTAATGGGAAGTGACATACGTGAGCAATACCAGTAAATCCTGCAAGCTCTAAATGTGGAAGGATCTCCTCTAGAACACCATCCAAACCAGCTGGAATAAATTGGTTCATCCTAACCTTCAAAATAGGATGATCTCGACCATCTAATATATGTTCAGACACGTGAATATTTTGTAACCGCAATAATGAAGGATCCTCTGGTCCAGGATGAATGACTCTATTCTGTCCTGAAGATGACGCCATCTACAAAAAAAAATTATTTATATATGTGTGTGTTAGTTTCATTGTTTAGATCATTTTCACCCATTTTTATTTAGGACTTACAAATAATATGTTATCAACTCAAATACACAAAATATCAATTATCTATAAAAATTAATATGGTCAACATTTTAAATTTGAATATAAATTATACAAAAAAATTTCATAACAACCATCACGTATAATACCACCATATGTTCCTAATTGATCACATTATTCAAATACAAAATCTATTTATAACATCTTTTTAGTGGAATACAAATAAAATCAAATACAATGGTTCATATCAATTTTCAAAATTTGACTAAATAAATTGGTAATTTGTCCAGAAATATGAATATATATTTTATGAATATTTTCTCTTATATTTAACAATTTTTTTAACTTAGTACATCAAAATAAATTACTATATTAATTAAAAACTTTAATCATTAAAATTCATCATACAATAACAACAGTAATTAACAAGTTCTTTATTTTCTATTTTTTATTGGTCATCGTTTATTAAATTATATAATTATCAATAATTAACTTCAACTAATTACAATCACTTCGAAATTTTATATTCAACATTAAAATTTTTTTCTTCCTAAATTTATTTACATAATTATAAATAATTTATCTCAACTATTTTATAGCCCTCTAAATATTTATTTTGGATAACTAATTTTCTTATCTCATTTCATAATTAACACTATAATAATAATTTAATCTTATATTATTAGTAACTTATTTTATTCTTTCATCATAAATTGAATTATATAAATAAAACTTTTTTTTAAAACTATTTAATATCACTCCAATAATTTAAATTACATAACTAAATTTATTATTTCATTATTATTAACCAATACTAATTTTATTTTTGGGTTGCAATTATTTATATAGTCAAATATTTACTACTATAATTTTAATATAAATTATTGTCTACTATAATTTTATAGTAATATAAATCAAAATCAAAATTTATGTTATAAGTTTTATACACTATTTTCTAATTATCATTTACAATTATTTTCTATTTTCCTATTCTAAATTTTATTCAACTATTTATTATTGTATTTAATTTTTTTAAATTAATTTTTAGTTGTTTTTAAATTTACACATCAAATTATTGTCTTAATTCTACATGCAAGTTTAATTTTTATACTAAATATTACTACAAATATTTAATTTTACAAAATTATGGTTATTATTTAATTATTATAAAATTAAAAAATTATTTCAATTACATTTTTAATCTAAATTTGTTTTTCATACTTAAATTTAATAAATTTAGTTATAAAATTTTTATTTTTAATATTATTTTTACTATAAAAATTTTAGTCACAATAAATTTTTATATTACATTATTAGTATTTTTATTTATAAAAAGCAAAAAAAATGTAAAAATAAATTATATTAAAAATAGAAAAACTCGGTAGATTTTCGGCTGCAATGTGGTGATTTTCAATGTCGGAGGTGGCAATTTCTAACGACAGAGGGTTCCTAGTGACACCAACAAGTTATCCGAACGGCGGCGGCGTTTCTCCGGCAGCCTTCGGCTAGCTTTCTTCTCCGTTACCGTAACAGTGCAGTCTCAACCTCCTCAACCTTTCACTCCAAAAACACCTTCAATCGCTGCAAACAAAGCAGATCTGGACACGATTCTGCAATGGATTACCAATCTCACTCAAAATCATACTTAAATGATAAAAAACACCCACCCAGCTTGCTGAATGGAAAAAATGGATGAACTGTGTAACTGAAATAATGGAGGGGAGAAGGGAAGAGGGAGGCGCAAGGACCGTTACTGCGCCGACACGTGGCCTAATCACGTAATTTTGTCCCTGACTCAGACGAAATCACCTTTTCATTTGACTCAGTGACGAAACTACGTGATTGGCCCACGTGTCGGGGGGCGGGAAAGGAAAATTCAAATTCGATGCATTTCGTCCAAATTTACGGCAAAACTATTAAATAAAAAAATTAAAAATTGATTTCATCTGGTTTTAATACGAAACAGGTGCTTACATGGCAAAAATTTGCCTCAGACAAAAAATAACTTTTTGTTTTACTTTATTTTGGTGAATATTTTTCAAATTAATATTATTTAAATCATTTTCCCCCGTTTGTCTTCTCCTTTTAACTTCAACTAAAATTTTCGTTAATTTTTTTTTAAAATTACAGTGAGGTTTTTTATTGATGAAATCTGCAATACAAAATTGTGAATAGAGCGAGGTTAGGACTTTTATATAGGCAAGTTATATTTAAAAAAACAGAACATTTTTCAACGAGAAATCTAAATAGACATTAAACTTTGTTAAAGAATATTTTTATTATATTTTTCTTGGAAGAAAAAAAAGGAAAAGAAAAGAAAATATATTTATTAATTTAAAAGAAAAAGAGGTGTAGAGAGACCTTCTTTCTATTGAAATCTCATTTTTATTTAGAATAGTCTCTTCTTACATTTTACTTTAGTTATTTTAAAAAAGAAAATAAATCTTTTTGAGAATTTATGTTTTTCTATTTACAGTTTTATACATTAATTAAGAAGAATTTGTTAACTCATTAAGATTTTGTCCATTTATATCGAGATCAAATAAAGTCAGATTCATTCCTGTTGCAAAGTGTAACAGGAATAATATCTCGACTCTAAGTCGATCACTCACTAACAGAGGAACAACAAAGGAATTGTCGAATGAAAATACTATACATTTGGTAATAGGCCTGACATTCATATTGTTCTTAATTTTATTGATAACAACACCATAATGAGAATGTGTGAGTACATTTAATATAAAAGCTATTTCATAAAGACTATGTAAAACTGGATAATGAAGGGAGATATAGTTATTAATTCACATCTTTTATGTTTTTTTATGGAGTAATTATCTTTTTTTTGTTTTCATGGTAGAAATATTGAAAGTTTTGTGCCGTAGTCCATATAATGTCACTTGGTATATCAATTTTATCTGGATTTCATATAGTGCACAATTTCTTATGTGTGGTCATTCTTAGTGGTACAATGATGATCATTAGAAGATTCGTCGCTAATCCTCATTAAAAAATGCAAAAAATTTAATGTAATACTAGGGTACTAACCTAAGTCATCTTTCATGA